TAAAAGAATTTTACTTAAAAAATGTGCATATGTTAATCTGGTCTACAACAGAAATTATTATTTATTTGTATTGGCCTATTGTTTGTTAATGCTTTACAATAATGCTCATGATGTTAAAATTTAACTAAACTGATGATTAAATAATCATTTGTAAAGAATACATTATACTTAGCTATAGTAATTTCTTATTTAACACTTTATAAGTCATTCAAATAAAAATCCTAACTGTTTGATTTAATAGAGCTAATTGCTAATTAAGCTAACATTACCATTTAACTTCTGTTTATAAAAAACAGCTGTTTGTTTTTAACTCTTGGTATTAGTTAATGATTCCATTCAAATTCTGTTCATATTACTACAGACACATTTCTTACTGATTACAATAAAGCAGGGGTCACCAATCCTGGTCCTGGAGGGCCGGTGTCCCTGCAGGGTATAGCTCCAACTTGCCTTAACACACCTGCCTGGATGTTTCAAGTATACCTAGTGAGACCTTGATTAGCTTGTTCAGGTGTGTTTGATTAGGGTTGGAGCTAAAATCTGCAGGACACCGGGCCTACAGAACCGAGATTGGTGACCCCTGCAATAAAGGAACACTCAAAAATGTAGAGTTCCTAAACCCGTAAATGTAACCTTTTTTGCAGTTTATGTAAATATTGGGATGATATCATATATCATGATAAAAGTCATGACATTGCCATTTTCAAAAAAAAAAAAAAAGCGACTGTACACAAGTCGACACGACAGGGGTATTGTTTTCAAAAACCGAAGTGATTTTTAAACATTTTTACTCCAAACGCATAAAAAGTTTTACGTTCTTAGCTGAAACGCTTACGCAAAATACCATCACAGTGTCGTCATTGGCATGTATTATCAGAAAGGCTAGTTTATCTGTGATTTAAATCTGGCAGGGGCTCCTATGTAGTTTACACAATCTTGGAATTCGGTGTAAGTGTCTATTTTTGTAATTCAGTTGTAAATGAACTGGACAAACCTGACAACGGGGCACATTTGAAAACACTCAAACGTGCCCTTTAACCTGCTGCAGTGGCAACCAGTGTGACAGCAAGAGTGTCAAGTTTACCCTATATTTAGGTCATTAAACGTACTTTGTCTGATGTAACATGTGGTGTGTTCTTAAAAAAGGTCATTCTGGGTGTGTGTTGAGATTATATGGCAAGTTTCCTACATATTTTAAATAGAGCCATAATTTTGTTTGGCTCCAAATCAATGACTCACAGCGGCGCTCTTGGCTTTGTGACAGCATGAATGCCGCAGTGTTTGTTTGAAACATACCTAAAAACCTTTCACATACTTTTTACCTCAGAAGACTCATCTGACCATGTGATGCACAACACGTGACTAGTAAAGCTTTGGCATTTATGCAAATTATTTGACTTGAGTTTTGTTTAGGTCTGTCGTGCTTTATTTTACTTCAGTGAGATTTTGTCAACTGCTGACAATTGTTTGACAAATTGTGCTCAGCATGTATAAGTAAACCCCTCACAAATCTCTTTTAAGATCATTTTTTAATAGGAAGCTATACAATATTGTAGTTGTGCATATACATTAGATTAGTCAGTACTGAAGCCAAATCTGGAGCTTATCAAACAAAGTAACTTATGATTACGGTCCAAAATCTAGTACAACCAAATTTATATGTTATAGAAAAAAATTAAATGCAAATTTTAAAAAGAGGAAAAATCAAGAGAGGCAAAAACATTGAAAAACTTAGTTGAAATTTTGTAGGTTGTTAAAGGTTTGCAATATTTTGCTTGAATTTAATTGCATTATCTTACAGTTTCTAAACATGTTTGGTGACAAAAATTTTATTTCAATAAATATATCTGTTTAATAAATCTGCTTTGTTTAAATACACCAAAATACATTGCCTATATCGGGGTGTCCAAACTCGGGCCTTGAGGGCTGGTGTTCTGAATAGTTAGCTCCAACTTCCTTCAACACAGCTACCTTAAAGTTTCCACCTATAAAGAGCTTGATTAGCTGGTTCGGGTGTGTTTAATTTGGGCTGGAACTAAAATATGCAGAACACCGGCCCTAGCTTCAGGACAGAGTTTGGACACCCCTGGCCTATATTCACTGCAGAAATGGGTAAAAATATTCTTTTTTTTAAATAGCTATACTCAAGTATGCTGAGCGCTGAATCTTGGATCTTGCAGGATTTTAAAATTTCCGTATTAGCATTTTAATTGTTTTAATGAATATCATCAATTAATTATAACCTCTCTTTGCCATGATGACAGTAAATAATATTTTACTAGATATTTTTCATGACACTTCGATACAGCTTAAAGTGACAACTAGGTTAAATAGGTTAACTAGGCAGGTTAGGGTAATTAGGCAATTTATTGTATAACAATAGTTTGTTCTATCGAAAAAAATAGCTTAAAGGGGCTAATCATTTTTTTCCTTAAAATGGATTTTAAAAAATGAAAAACTGCTTTTGTTCTAGCCAAAATAAAACAAATAAGACTTTCTCCAGAGGAATAAATATTATAAAACATACTGTAAACATGTCCTTGCTCTGTTAAACATAATTTGGGAAATATTTAAAAAGGAAAAAGAAATTTGAAGGGGGCTAATAATTCTGACTTCAACTGTATATATAGATATTATGTTAGTTATTCATGGTCATGTTATAGTTCACAGTGCATGTTCATTTTCAAAAACAATTTAGAATAAAAATAATAACAAATTATAGAAATAATTATTAGAAATAATAATAATAATAATAATAATAATAATAATAATAATAATAATAAATAACAACAATAAGAATTGATAAGAATACAAAATGTTATAAATCAGAGATGCTGAAACTTGGGCCCGGAGGCCAAAGTTAGCCCATGCTAACCATTGATTTGCCCCACCATCCCATTTGAAAAGAAAGGGAGAATGATGGGGAAGTGGTTGAGCAAAGTTCTTTACAAAAACTAAAAACATATAAGTTTGGGCAAGACATAAAATAGAGAGAAGTTTAAAAAGTCCATAAATTTCATGGCAACACTTTATGAATTCTCACTTGTTAATATTAGGTAATGCATTGACTAACAGGAACTAACACTGGTATTTACAGCTTTCGTGTGTTAGTTTTAAACATGTCTTAAAGAATGACATTATCCTTAAATATCATTTGACCTTTTTATCATGTAAATCAAATATTTTAAAATATGAAAACCATAAAAAACAAGATCAGACTATAAGACAATTAAGAAATCTTTAATGCAGAATCATAGTACAGGAATAGAACTTAAAACTCTCATACCATGCTTATCTTTCATGACCTTTATGTCTTATGACATCACGGTTATGTATGTGTATAGATATTATCAAACATTCAACATGTTTGAACGCATTAAATAATATTGATGCTCAACAAAAAGTGCCAATGCATTTAGTGCATTAAGTGTG